ATATCAACACCCATATAGTGGCCGCACCCCCCCCACGAAAAGGCCGAGAGAGAAACACACGCAGCGGCAAGCATCGACCAACGAGTCGATGGAGCCTCCACTCCCCCAGCACCATGCTTAGGTTGACCAGCCTGGCTAACCAGTACCCGTACCCATTACGTGGCCAATTGATTAACTACAGCTTTGGACGGGGGTGGTCTTTAGAGAATTGTATGAGCACCTGTACTCCCCGATGCGCGATGCGCACTACTGCACGGGCGCTTGGGATCCTTGTAGTGCCCCGGTACTATCAACAGCCGGTCCATCAACCCTCCAAAAGACGGCCGCCGGTCAATCGAGCTCTGTTACCGGGAAATCCATGGTACTTGGCAATCCCCCCGGAAACCCTTCTAATAGTTCCGCAAGGTGTGTACCATGTAGTGGAGACTAATTTTATGCACCCTTCTTTGTTTTCTCCAGTGCACTGACTGATATTTTTCCATTCCAATTTTTTGTATCATACCGCAAATGATATTTCTGGGTGTGCTGCGCTTGCCTTGTCTGATGTTCTTCCGTTCCAACTCCCAACTATTTTGAGGGGCACCTTGTAATATATCATCGACCGGTAGTTCCCAGCAATATAAACACTGAAACCCTGAAATAAACACAACTTACTCGGTGATAGGTTTGATATTGTGGTGCAATCCTGGTAGGATAACAATTCGCCAAGCTAAGAAAAGAAAGAAAGGAAGAAAGGAAAGAGGGAACAATTGTCTACGCTCAAAACAAAACAAAAAAACCCCCCGCCCATCGACCTATAGCGTGCACTTACAATCTTCATAGCCTATCCTGCTGAAGTTGAGCCCCGACACTGCTCCGCTGTGCTAAGCCCGTAACCGCACTCCCGATGCTGTTCTCTCTCTTCTTCCTCTTATCGCCAGGGCTGCCTTTTACCACAACCCCCGTGGATACGCCAGCGGTTGATGGTCTCCCAGCACCTAAAGCAATACCCGCAGGGCCAATAAGGCTTCTACCAGTGCTATCCATACTTGAGACACTTCCAGATCTCCGGGAATTGGGTTGCGGGTTGCTGATACGGGTTGGCACGATTCTGGCTGGCTCCAGGACTCGCTCACTAGAGGGAGCCAAAGGGTCAACAATGTCTCCTGAGGGGTCTAGAACAGGGTCTCCAATAGCTAATGGCTCGGCGGGAGAATTGGACCTTGAGAATGGGAGTGGTAGTATACCAAGCGCACCCGCAGCTGAAGACGTAGCATCCCGCTCATCATCTGAGTAAGAGGGCAATCCATCGTGCTTTCCTACGGGGTGGGCTGCGGGGTTCTTTGTTGGCGAGAAGGAAGGTTGAGCGTCGCGATCTAAAACTAGCTTCGGGCAAGGTTCGCTTGTTGTTTCCTTATCACCGCCAGCGGGGTAAGCTCCTAAAGCCTCCAAGACGTGCGGAAAGACCAGCTTGTGAACATCCTTTGCCCACAAAAAGTCCAAGTGTTCATAATGTTCAACCTCCTTCGCAATTGTGTGCCCGGGTAGCTCCCTTAACATGACATCGATGTCCACCAAACTGTCGTTACCGCCATAAATTAAAGTAATCGGCGTAGTGATGTTTCTAGTTGGGAACTTTGCCACCTTGTAAAAGCCTTTGCCAGCGAAAGTGGTTATTGGGGATTGCATGTCATCATCGTACATCTGAAAAGACTTATTGCGAATGATTTGAAACCAGTGCACCACACTCTTGACGGAGGTAAAAGAGTAAAGCTTTGAGTATGCAGCAATCTTTTGAGGAAGAGATATATTGGCCCCGGACCAGTTGAAGAGGAATTTGAGGGCAACATCAATCACACGAACAAATATTGGAGGGTCTGAGGGAGTGTCAGCAAGGACCTATAAATGGGAAGTAGAAGTGCCTACATAGAATGCTCTGCCAGAAGGTGGTCGAACTTAGTATGCTCCTCCGTCCAAAAAACAAAAACATTATATTAGGGCTAGTTTTCATGAGAGCATCAACGACGGGATTTGATAAGCCTTCAGGACTCATAGCAGGAGCAAGAGCAATAAAAACATCGACCTTTTCGTTCAAGTCCGGATGGATACTTAGGGTAGCAAAAGCCTGTGCTGTTCCCTGTGAGAATCCGATATAGCTTAAGCTCTTCTGCTTAGAAGTCGACAGGATATAGCTAATTGAGTCGGGAATATCGTGAAACGCAAATTCATCCATACTGAAATCCCAGAATTTGGGAGCTGAGGATGGATGATTGATCGATTTCTTGGAATATTTGTTTCCGCGATTGTTCCCCAGCTTTGGGTGGTTAGAAATGCGCTCTGCCACCATTATCGGGAAAGCCATACCCAAACGTCGTACCCCCTCTCAACAAGGACAAACGGAAGGCAACACTCCTTCTCCAATAAACAAACCCAAACCTCGCTATTCATAAGCAATCCTGATCACATGAAACGTGAGCTAAAATAAATAAATAATCAAATTCCCCACTGCCAATGAGCAACTCACCATGATGCAGATAAACGACTTTTTTACCACCCTCCCCTCTCTCAGAATCGCGACATCTATTGCTCCTATCCCCCCCTCCACCCTTCTTTCGCAGCCTGTGCAAACCTAGAAGATATCCATCGCCCGTCTGGACAACGTGCTCCTCAACAATCCAGTCACCTTTATTCCAAATCTCACATATCTCAATAAAACCATCCGCCTTCCTTACATGGGCGACAATATCCTTCTCCTGTTTAGAGCTAGAGACTGTGGTGTACTTTCTCGATGAAAACGAATTAAACAACGTGCGTGATTTAGTGTAACAAAAATTGATGACCGATGCCGCTAAAGATAAAACCCCGAGTGAGCAATCAGCAAAACCTGAGGAACGTAGAGGGCGAATACTCACGCAACGCCAAGGTGATAACCCGAATAATACTTTCGAAGATAAGGAACAGAAACGAAAAGAGCAGAGCTAAATACTCCATGCTGGAGATATTGTCAGTAATAAATTCGTCGACCCCAAGTTCAGCGAAGACGCTCCGAACAAAGCCCGAGGCTTCAACTATCCGTCCACAGGCCACAAACTAGGGGAGAAAAGAAAAAAAAACACTCCAGGGACGCAACCGGCCACGGGAGGAAACTGAGAAACGGGTATCACAAGAGATAGGGACTATACAGATGGAGCCGGCCGACAAGTGGAACAGCCATATCGCCCACTGCAGCAACGTTCCCCCCCTCTCGAAATGTCCTGCGATCCGCCCCACCCCAAGTTATTGTAATAGTGGATCTAGTCTTAGAAGAGCTAGGTAACGTTGGACCTGTATCCGTAGGTTGTAGGCGTGTGTTGAGTCTGGGTGTTTGAGGTTGGTCGGCAGTTCCAGGGGTTCGAAGGGAAGAAAAATGCTATGGTATCCGAGCCTCCTTCACTCACTCGCGACAACCGACTACCGAATTTTCGTCCGACCGATAAAGCTGCCAATCCACACCAAACTTTTTGCACATCGGACTACGGGCACCAATGATCCGTTGCGCTTTTCGCGCCCTCTCAACGATTGGGACTTGGACACCACGGTGGCGTGAAGGTTGGTAGGCGAATTGGGTGAATTGTCTGCAGTCGCATGTGGTTTCGTTGTTGTTGTTGTTGCATGGTTCGCCCCAAAGGTGCAGGGGAGTGAGAGCACAGCGTCTGTAGGTTAGCCATAGCACGTGAAATCCCTTTCGTTCCAGGAATTCCCACAGATTTGACGTAATTCCCGTTAACGGCAAGACAGAGCTGAGGAAGCCGGCAGTACGAGTACCGTACCGGA